TGGGAGGTCCTCCCCACCCCCCCCCCGCCCCCTGGGGCCAGCCGCTTGAGGCTGCATCCCATGTCCTACCCCGGCTCAGCAGTGCCTGCTCCAGCCCTAGCTCCCCTCCTCCCTCACCACAGGGTCCTTGATCTACGCCCCCCCCCACGCCCCTTCCCCCCCAACAGACTTATCAGCCAGACACTGATCTCCAAGCTGCCAGGCTGCACATTGGCAATCAGATCAGTATCAGCCAATATGGCTCGTTAGTAGGGGCGTGTGAAGCAGGCCCTATTCAATTTGGATTTGGCCCAAATCAGGGACAGTGATTTGATTAGTTGATTCAGATCACTGTCCCCAATTCAATTTGGCCAAAACTAAATCTGAAGATCAATGCTGATTCAGAGAATCGGTGATTCGGACATAGACACAGTTTTAAAAGTTTTTTCTACATACCTTGAGGTACCAGGTGTGGCTCGTGAATGCTGCGATGCTGGGGCAGATGGAGCATGCCACAGGAGTTTGGGGGGACCCTCCGTGTGCTCAGCAGTGAACCTGGAAGTAGACCAGAAGTACTCCTGATAAACTTCTAGGGCTGGCCAGGGTGTGCACTAGGGCCCCCCCACCATGCCTCCCCAGCTCAGTGGTCAGCTGCAGGGGGACCCCAGGTGCCCCCCCCAGACCCAGGAGGCACCAGTCACTGAGTTGGGGGGGGCACTAGGGTGCTCCCCAGCAGACCTGGAGCATCCTTGGGATCCCCTCATGCTTCTGTGGGATGCACCATGTGCCCCAGCATCGCAGCAGTCATGAGCCCCTGCTACCTAGAGGTATGTAGAAAAAACGTTTCAAGCTGTGCCTATGTCTGAATCTCTGAAGCTTTCCAAATATCTCTGAATAGATTTGGAGGGTTCCGATTTGATTCAGAGAGATTAAAAGGTCCTCTGATTTGATAAGGATTCAGAGATTTGGCCACTGAATCGGGCTGAATCTCTGCCAAATCGAATCAGCAACCGGAGCTTCGCACAGCCCTACTTGTTAGTAATCGGCTATCAGCATCAGCCCAAAAAATCTTTATTGATGCACCCCTAATAATTAGTATTTACAGGTAAGTGACCTTAGTTGTGAAGATTAGGTTAAGTCACTACTAGCAATGTGAAACTGAAATCCCTCTACTTCCATTCTATCCATGTGGTTTTGGTGCAGACTATTGCCACACAGCTGCTGATACATCTCAAGTCTTCTTCATTAGGAAGGATTTCTCATTTCAGACTTAAGTTTACTCTTTCATTACACATGGTGTTACCCTTTATCTATCCCAGCTACTTATAATACATACATCAGCTTGGTATCCAGGTTTCATAACTCTGTCATAAGTACGCATTTGTGAAACAAATATTTTTTTTAATGAGAGTGTAACATATTTTAACTTAAGAATCAGGATCTACATTTTGCATGCCTCTTTGGGAGGGGTTTTGTCCTCCATTTGGACCATTGCGAGTCAAATTATGCTGCACAAGTGAATTCATTTACATATATTTCACTCACATGTACTACATCAAGTTGTAAAGTGGTACCCTGCTGTTCAAAATAACGTTATACTTTAAAGTCACCCTCTGTTTTCAAAGCCCATTACAAAAGGTAGCTACTAGGTCTTATCTTTCAGAGGAGGGAAAACGACACAGCAAAAGAACAAGTGCTCACTGACAGCAGGGCAAATTCCTGGGGAGGCAACACAAGATTTAAATTATTCTGAGGTACATCCAAAAAGTCAAGAAAATAATAGATTCATAGATGTTAGGGTCAGAAGGGACCTCGATAGATCATCGAGTCCGACCCCCTGCATAGGCAGGAAAGAATTCTGGGTTTAGAGGCATCTAGCTGGGGTCATATCTAACCTCTTCTTGAAGACCCCCAGGGTAGGGGAGAGCACCACCTCCCTTGGGAGCCCATTCCAGACCTTGGCCACTCGAACTGTGAAGAAGTTCCTCCTAATGTCCAATCTAAATCTGCTCTCTGCTAGCTT